GATTTTTTTTTTGTTTTTTTAATTAAAAATGTTTTTAAAAGTAATTAAAAAAGCTAATAAAAATTTATTTTAATAACATCGCAATAGCTAATAATAAATCAAGCTAATATTTATTAAAATTAAAATTATATACTAATACAATTTATAATAATATATATTAAAAATTATATTAGTAATTAGTATAATTATGATACTAATTACTATATTAGTATAAATTAGTATTTAAGATAATTAAAAATTCTATTTATACTACTATATTAGTATATATTAGTATTTAGGATAATTATTAGCACAATTATACTTATAATTATATAACTATTATATTAGTATATATTAGTATAATATTAGTATTTAGGATAATTACTATTATAAAATAATATTATAAAATTAAATTAATTATATTATAAAAATTATATTAGTATAAATTATTAAGTTATAGATTAGAATGAATTATCTTATAAAACTTATTTTATTAGTATTATGTTAGATTAGTTAAAAAGTTATAAATTACTATTACTATGTTAGAAGTTATAATTGATTATTTTATAAAATTATTAACATATATGGTAATATATTGCAGGGGTCACTCGAAGATTTTGGAGGAGACGGTGTTGATTACATATGTTATTTCGCTACAACTGACCTATTTGATAGTTGTGATGAAACTGTTCAATGGGCAAAATACATTGCAATTATAGGGAGTTTCCAATTGACCATCTCGAGAAATTTAGATAAAGGAGGAAAAGAGTTGAGGTGTCATCGAGGGGAACGTTACAGAGACACTGCATGAAAAGTAAAAAATTTCGTTAAGGCTGTTCTGAGACGTTCGAAAACAAAAGAGGTCGACTGCCCTTTTATGATAAACGTTAAACTTGATGCAACATTCAAAAAATTTTGTATCTCAGTTCCTTTAGATGGCGTGAATGGAATGCATAATCATGCATTGGCTGTGAATCCTAAGGTTCATCGACAAATGAGCGGACTCAGCGATCCATCCAGAGAGATTGTCCGTGATATGAGTTCTACTCAGGCAAAACCTGAAGCAATTCTGGCTGCGATTCAGGAGAAACACTCTGTGGACAACGCGACTATCCGACAAGTGTATAATTATAAAGCTAAATTGCAGAAAGAAAGTTTGGAGAGTAGAGATGTGGCTGAGCAGCTTCTGCATTTGGCTACGGTCAGCAACTACATAGTTTACACTGATGTTGATCCGAACACACAGGGGTTGACACATGTGTTCATGTCGCATCCACAAGTAGCCAGTCTATTCCGGACATATTACTGGTATGTCGGTATAGATTCCACATACAAAACCAACAGGTATGTTACGTTACTTTATAAATAGACAGTTGATTGTGAATCTTAATTTAATTATTATGTTTGATTGAGTAAGTTTTTTTTATTGTATGTTTTATCTGCTTGTTACAGGTACCATATGCCGTTGGTGGAGATGGTTGGGATGACGCCGTGCAACAGGAACTTCTTAATTGCCTATGCAATTGTTTAGTAAATATTTGGTAGGCAAGGGATAACCGAGCTACTCGGCTCGGGTCGATCTCGAGAGAAGGCTATTCGGAGCTTTACTTACTATTCAATCGCTCAAATCACAAAAATGGAAAATAAAGTCCTAAACATACTAATCAATTTGGGTTGAGGTTGATTAACACTAATTACGACTAGTGAAAGCAAGTAAACGAGCAACGAGCAAGTGAACGAACTATGGAACCCTAGTGTAACGCCCCACATTATGAATAAGAGAATAAGATCATTTGCATTTCATCCTTAGCTCGACTTTGTTTATTAAAGTTTATAGTTCAACAATCGAATTAAGTAGATGTCCTCATCTACTTAATTTTCCTTATTGATTGTTCTTAAATTGCTTTAAGTGTTTTATTTGCTTGATATCTTATTTGCTCTTATTGCTATTATACGTATTTTATTGTTTGTTCTCCTAAGATTTATTAAGTTAAGCATTCTAAAGAGTTTTGAAAGTTAAGCTAAGTTCGGCCATACCCTTTATCCATGGCCATGGTTTGGTTATTGTTTTATTTTATCTTATTTTATTTTATTTGAATTTCAAAGACCAAGCATTTAAGCCTTTTCCCATGCGTCCTATCTTCACGGCGAGCTCATCTACTTATCCTTCTCCAAACAGATGCAAGAACCAAGTCAAAGGGAGCCACTAACCACCTCAACAAATCCCCCCAATTCGGCCTCAACTCTCCCCCACCTCTCCATTCTATTTGAATTAAAAAAAAGGGGCCTAACACCCACGTATTTAAGCTTCCTTCATAACACCAGCCACCATTTTTTATGAATTACCATTCTCAGTAAGAGCTTACTACTGCCAGCCACCATCTCTTTATCATTTCTAAATGTACACAGAAAGATCACCAAGAAAAAAAAAGCTCTAGCCCTTATAAGAATACAACTGCATCATCTCCTTCGCGATAGCCGAGCTTCCCGCTAGCAGCCCGCAAGCCGGCGGTCTGAGGACAAGGACCAACGAGACCAAGAGACGTGAGTTTTCGAACCATTTCGTGCTACGTCCAAGCATTTTCAGAGGCCCTTAAGCCGAGACCTAGCCGTTCGAGCCTTATTTTTGTCCCGTTTCTTTAAGTCCACTTTTTTCAAGGTAATAAGCTCAACCTTTTTACTCTCTTCATGTGGCTGAACTAGTGTTTAAGAACCAGCTTTTAAGTGATAAAATGAGCATTCTTGACTTAGTAGAAAATGAGAAAGAATGAGTTATGTTATGTGCTGGTTTTGGCCAATTTTATTATGTATTGTATATGCTGAGTTGCTGAGGTCTTGAGATGTTTATTAAGCTATTATGGGAATAAATATTTGAGCTTATTATCCCACTTTGTTTGGCCTTAAGTTTATTGTTAAAGTTAAGAAAATGAAATGAAGAAAGAAAAGAGAGCACGTTTTGCTTTAATTTCTCTGGCTTTGTTTTGAACCTGCGGCTTGGTTTATCTATGAGAGTCTTTGTGGACTAAAAAAAAAAATGTGAGTTTTATCATGTATAGTTTCAGTTCTATATACATGTGTAAAGGTTGATTAGTTCCAAGAAGAAAAGAAGCATGTGTGTTTATTTTGATTCCTGTATGATCTGATTTATGAAATTCAATTCTGCTAAAATGTGTTTATTTTTTTTAGTTTAAATTGTTGTTATTATATGAACTAAGTTTGGTCTTGATCGAGTAAATGTGGTTTAAGGAAAGAAAAGAAGTTTACATGTTGCTATGAGCCTTCTTTGATGTAATTTTGTTGAGTTGTTTTGTGTTGTGTATTCTTGTTGATATATGTGTGTTGGTTTCAGAACATTCATAGCCTTGTGTTGAGCCCATGTTTCAGTTTTTAGAGCGACTTACATGCATGCTTTGGAATGATTAAGTTTGTGAATTAATTATGACAAGAAGTTGGCCTTTAAATCATGAGAAAAAGAGAAGAAAAGAAGGAGATTTGTTATGTGTTGTTTTGATTTAAATATTTTCTTGTGATTTTGCTTGGTGTTATGTTGTGTTTTCCTTGCTGTTTGTCCTTGAGTTCATGTAAGTTCAAATATTTTGTGGCCTTAAAGGTTAAGAAAGGCTAGAAAGTCTGAATTTAAGGGGAGAAGGAAATAAAAGGAGGCGTTATTGTGTTGTATTTTGCCATGCAATTTTCATGTTGCATTATGTTAATTTTGCTTTGTGTTAATGGTAAGTTTTGCATGCTGAATTTAATGTTTAATGTTCAGTTTTGAAAGTATAGAAATAATTATTAAAATTGTTGGAGTTAAGAAAGGAGTTATAAAGATGTATATGA